AATCCTCATCTGGTGAGATCGACCAACGAATCTCTTCTTCATGCACTTTCATCCTAATTGAAGGTCCCCCTAGCAATATATTCACCCTATTTTATTTAAGGTGGTAAGGGGATTGATAGTTGAATGTATTAAGCTTTTCTTATCTTATGTCAAGAATTTTAGTATTCTTTCTTTATTAAATTATAAATATAGATAATATAAAGTTATTTCTTTTCAAAATTCAATTGATAAACTTGTGGCTTATATTGGGGTTATATTTAAAATGTTTAGGGTAAACTTTATATTTCTACCTCCAGTTCTTTATCGCTGAGGTTAGACGGAATTGGACTGAACGCCCTGGCCTCCCAAACTCCATATTCTTTTAGAGAGCCGTTGTACAGAGGAGGATTGGCCTGTTCATCCCCATGTATATGTTCTGCTATAAGATATTTTGAGCTAATTGGCGAGTACTGCCTAATATTTCGATCTAAAGGCAAGGAATATGTTGCTAGAAGCGGTCCTTTAGGTGAAGCCTGAATATCAGCTGGTTGAAAATTGGTGTGTTCTCCTGAACTCTTCATTAGAAATAAACTTGACCCAACTGGCTCAACACAGTCTATCTGTTTTCCGGCTATAGCAAGTTGACTCATTTGCCAGGAAGCTTCGGCTGTCAAGGCAATTTGGCCCTGACACCAACATTTATTAGATTTTGATGCCACCAGTGAACGTGGACTATTAGCACTTGAGCTGCAATCAAATATGCAAGAATTTAACTTCCGCAATAGGCAGACTGGTTGAGTATCCGTTGCGTTATGTGTTGTTGGAATCAAATCAGAATGCCGAACATTCAAAGTAATTCCTGCATTCGGAGTATTTAATGAATGGGTACCAATATTATTAAAATCCGAGATCGTCTTAACGTGATAGGCGGTTGAAATGAAATCATTGTTACAATTTGATTTAGGTGAGCAGGGAGGATTGGCATGCAGGGCATGTGGAGAACGAGTTATCATGATGTTAGTGTTCGAATATACATTGGGAATACCGAAAGCTTCTGGATAAGAGAGCAAAGTTTTGGCAAGACGATGTGACAGAGGGTGCAATTGTAAGCTAGCATGAGTAGAATTTGATAAAGCCGGCTTTGAAATATCGATTCGATAGGTAAGAATAACGAGTAGAGACAAATGAAGGCTTTGACAGCACGCATAGTCGCAAGCCGAGTAGTCGTACTTGTCTCGGAGCCCCGGACTAGCTGTAAAGAACAATAAAATTGTTATATGGGAAGCAACATTATCTATTATGCAGAATTTTGTTCACAATAAAAAATAAGACGCTGCTCTATCACTATGAATATGCGTGACACGTAAAAGTTATTTGCTTTTTGCCTGGTTAAAAAGAGCCAAAAAATATAAGCTGAGGCTGATGATTAGCAGGATTATCTTTCACCAATAAATTAATTAGATACGAAGACCAAGATATTGAGGCCTAACCTGATTTTTTCAACTTGGTCGTGTTGTCAGGGCCACTTAGTTGGGCACACCCTGTCCGAAGTCCTCCGCTATATTGGTTAGCATATTTCCAAGTGTCGAACCATGGACTTTATACACTCACAGACGTTTCGCCGGCATCGTAGTCGGTATCGTCATTGAGTCTTGCCATTATGAACACTAAGCTACAACGTATCAGAGACAAAAGTGCTTGCAACCAAGTCGCCCTGACAACACGATTACTTTGCGAAAACGAGGTCAGACCACACAGATAAATTAATTAGCCTTTAAAATCCATCAAAAGAAAGTATGGATTGCTCTACGAAAGCCCAAAGCCTATTCGTGAGCAGCAATAATTAACCAAAGACATCCGTAAGAAAGTGGAAATGTAAGGAAAGACTTAACTATATGAACTCATTAAAATCTAGCCCAGAATAACAGAGGTACGATTAAGGTGTATAACATCGTAAGCCTAATATCTTGATTGATAAAACCTGCATAAAACTTGGAAAACAGCACAAATCGCAGGCGAAAAGTGCGACTATTTAATACTAAACTTTACTCCGAGGTATGTATAATTCATAATGGAATGTTATGGGGTGGTTTTAGCGTTCCTTATTTAAAAAAGTGAATAATTTTTGATTTTTAAAAATAAGTAAAATATTAATTAAATACGGCAATATACAATCATTCAAAGTAGAATTATGAAATCGCAACAATAAATCGTATAATCGAAGGTATGAAGACCAAGATGGTGAGACCTTTTGTATGGTAACTGTCTCTTTTCATTTTATAGTAGTTGCCTGACCTTGTTTTCGCAACTTTGTCATATTGGCAGAAAGACCTAGAGGAACGCACTTTGTCTGGAGCCCATTGTATGCATGATAATTTTCAGTCAGACCATGGTACATTCCCAGACATTGCCCTGGCATCGTCAATGTACCTTGCCAGCCTCTGCACCTCACTACAACTCGCCAGAAACAAGAGAAGTCGATCCTTTGACAAATTGTCTCTTGTCCGCCTATCCTACATCCTCGTACCACTCCTTCACTATCATAATTTCTAAATTGCTTATTTAAATATGTTAGGGGGACCTTCATTTCGAATAAAAGTGCATGAAAAAGAGATTCGTTGGTCGATCTCATCAGATGAGGACGGATGAAACTTGTTGTACTACAGCCGTTTGGCTTTTATACGATATTCATGCTGACGCAGTCCACGAGACTTCCTCTTTCGTACGGTGCCCTTCCGAGCGAA